CCCCCCCCCCGGCCCCGGCCCCCCAGCCGCTGGAGTTCGCCCAGTTCCCCTTCTACCTGAGCGGGCTGCGTCGCACAGCCGACTTTGTGGAGGCGATTGAGAGCGTGCGGGCCATCTGCCGGGAGGCCGCCCAGCGCCACGGGGTGCTGAGCTACCCCAGCGGCTACCCCTTCCTCTTCTGGGAGCAGTACATTGGCCTGCGCCACTGGTTCCTGCTGGCCATCAGCATCCTGCTGGCCTGCACCTTCCTCGTCTGCGCCCTGCTGCTGCTCAACCCCTGGACGGCCGGCATCATCGTGAGTACGCACCCCGATGCGTGGGGACAGGGGAGTGAGCGGCCATGCTGCCCTCCTGGTGGCACCCATCCAGCCCTGCTGCCGTGCTGCTGGGTGGCCCTGGCTGCCTGCGTCGTGGGGATGGGGTGGTGGGGTGGCCGGGGGCACCCTGGGTGGAAAGGACTCCCATGTGGAAATGGTAGTGGGTGGGGGACACCCATATGGAGGGATCAGGGACCTGGCTCATGAAGGGAACGTATGGAGGGGACAGGGGCTTGGAGACATCCCTGCAGAAGAGGGTGAGGAGAACACCCATATGGAGGTGGCAATGAGTGGGGGACCCGTATGGAGGGATCAGGGGGACCGTTTATGAAGGGAACGTGTGTAGTGGGCAGGGGTTTGGGGACATCCATGCACAGGAGGCTGAGGCCCACCTCCAACAGGCGGCACAGAGGGACACCCCAAATAGAGGGAAAAGGGGCAATGGGGTGAGGCTGCCCTATATGGAGGGGTAGAATCAGGCATGCCAGGCGGAGGGGCAGATGGGACAGCTGGTCAGAGCCACTCCTCACTGATCCCACCCCACCCCCAGGTCTCCATCCTGGCCATGATGGCGGTGGAGCTGTTTGGCATCATGGGGCTGATGGGCATCAAGCTGAGTGCCATCCCTGTGGTCATCCTCATTGCCTCGGTGGGCATCGGCGTGGAGTTCACCGTCCACGTGGCCCTGGTGAGCACAGGCAGACCCCTGCCCAACTGCAGGGCACCCCAATTCCCACTCCCTGGCACCCTCATCCCCTTGGCCGTGTGCCGATGGGTGGCCACATCCATGGGTGGCACGCAGGGACGAGCCCTGTGTGACATCCTCATTCCATGCAGGGCTTCCTGACAGCGGCGGGGAGCAGGAACGTGCGCTCGGCCGCAGCACTGGAGCATACCTTCGCCCCTGTGATGGACGGTGCTGTCTCCACCCTCCTGGGCGTCCTCATGTTGGCCAGCTCTGAGTTTGACTTCATCATGAGGTGCGTGCCGGAGGGGGGTAAACCAGCTGCTTGCTGCCCCCCAAAAGCTTTGGCAACGGGGGCTGGTGAGCGTGGCAGCCACCCTGGCTGGCAGTGGGGACGTGGGGCAGCTGGCGAGGACATGTCTTGCTGAGGGCACCCACTCCATCTTGCGTGGAGGCTGGGGAGACATGGAGGGGCTGGGGTGCGTGGTGTGGGAAGCCGTGTTTGGGGCGGGACGGGGTTTATGGTGCCTGTGCCCACTTACCCGCTCTGCCTGCGGCTCCCACAGGTACTTCTTTGCGGTGCTCACCATCCTGACGCTGCTGGGGCTGCTCAACGGGCTGGTGCTGCTGCCAGTCCTGCTCTCTGTCATCGGGCCACCCCCCGAGGTCCATCCCACCTCTCCCTGTCCCTCCCCAACCCCATATCCACATTCCTTCATCCCCCAGTGCCCCTCACCCTGTCCCCCCTTCCCCCTATACCCATCCTTGCCTTGTCTGGTCCCAGCCTCGCCTCATACCCACCTCAGCTCATCCTTCACACTGTGCCATCCCTGCTTTCCCCCATACTTTCTCTGCCCCACATCCAACTTGCCCCATACTTGCTTGACCCCATTCCTGCCTCACCCCACACTCGACTCCCCCTGTCCCTCCCTGACCCATTTGACCCCATCCCTACTTCACCCCGTATCTCCTTTGCCCCACGCAGCCCTCCCCCCATCCTCGCATCACCCCATACTCCCTGCCACCCCTCGCTCCTCCATCCCTCTATGTCCCCGGTCACTCTGACGCTGTCCCCTCTCTCCCCAGGCATCCCTGCTGGATAACGGCCCCCGCCTGCCCCAACCGGAGCCGGTGCCCCCATGCCTGGGCCCCGGGGGGCTGGATGTCCGGCGGGCC